TGCTTGTTTCCTTAGAGGAAGTTTAATCTGACTTGCGCAAATTGTCCATACATAAAGCGGTGGGACCAGATAGAATATCGAACAAATTGTTGAAGCAATTTGCACCCGAATTAGCACCATTGATTCAAGATATTTACAATCAATCACTGGGAGAAGGTTTCGTACCTGATACTTTAAAACAGTCAATTATCTCACCCGATAAAAGTTTGCCCTCCTCAAAAAATTAAATCAGACTTGAGACGAATTGTACTTACAAGCTATTTAGCAAAAGTACTAGAGGGTTTTATAAACAAAAGACTGTTAGATAAGGTGTTTGACTATATTGACCCACGTCAATATGCACGCCATGGACACTCTACAGTGCACGCATTAAGTTATTTAATGCAAGCTATACACGAAGCTATTGATTCTGGTAACTGCTCTGTTTGGATATTTTTTGCTGATTTTACTAAATGTTTTGATATCATAGACCACTCAATATTACTGGATGAACTCAGATTGTTCAACATCGATAAAACTCTGTTTTTTTGGATACGTTCCTTTCTTACCAACCGAACACAGGCTGTACGTGTTTGCTCCTGCCTGTCACCATGGAAACAAGTCAATGGTGGCGTTCCACAGGGAACAAAACTCGGATTAACACTCTTTACTGTTATGATAACAAGCTCCTCAGTAATTGGCATATGCGTACGAAGTATGTTGATGACACTACTACATTTGAGATTATTCCAAGGAACTCCGTTAGTTTACTAGGTGTAGTTGTCAGAGAAATACATGATTATTGCATAGAACACAGGATGAAGTTAAATCCAAAAAAATGTAAAGAGATGTACATAAATTTCATGAAGAATTCGATTACTGCAATGCGACCTATAAATGTTGCATAGAACACAGGATGAAATTAAATCCAAAAAAATGTAAAGAAATGTGCATAAATATCATGAAGAATTCGATTACTGCGATGCAACCTATAAATGTTGGAAATCAAGAAGTGGGGCGAGTGGGAACTTATAAGCTTTTAGGAGTTATAATTAGAGATGACCTTAAATGGAATACTCACGTTGAATATGTAACTGCCAAGGCAGCTAAGAAATTATACGCTCTAAGGTTGTTGAAACGCGCAGGAGTTATGCCAGAAGACATGCTTAGGGTATACACTTGTAATATTAATTAGATCGGTCCTAGAGTATGCTGCGAAAGTGTGGCAAGACATTCCCGCATACCTCTCTGATGCTATTGAATCCATACAAAAGAGCGCCTTAAAAATTATATTCCCAAATTTTAGTTATCAACAAGCCCTAGACCCGGCAAAATTGACATTGTCGGTAGATCGTAGGATATCCGTTTGTAAAAAGTTGATGGCGGAAATGAAGAATGAAGACCACCCCATATCTTTCTTAGCTCCGCAAGCTATGATAAGTTTTAAACCTTATCAGTTAAGATCACGAAATACCAAAGCCATAACAACAGTGAAAAGAACAAAAAGAGCAAATGTCTTCTTTTGATTTTAGGTCTTCGTAGACTCGATTATTATTGTAATACTTACTATTATTATTGTAATACTTAAGACCTATTATTGTAAATAGACTTTATTATTGGTATCTAGTAAGATTCTTATTAATATCCTTGTAAAATTACACTACTTATTCAGTTTTTTAACTGCCAGAAGTGTTAATAAACTATCATCATCATCATCATCATCACGACGCACTGTTGCATAGCAGCCTTTGACTCCATCCGGCTTAGGAGCAAGATGACACTTTTATTTTGTATTGTTTTGTTTTTTCTTAATCGAAACCTTTTTGTGAATGATAAATTAGTGAGCATACTTTATTTAATCTCCTACACGTTGCGTCTGACAATAGCAGACTTCATCAAGGAGTTTTTACAAGTATGATAAATCTTACCTATTTACATATTTATTTTCGACCTGTACGCATCGTGTGAAGCAAGCGTTAAGATGTCCCCAAGATGCTGTTGAGCAGTGACATTTTTTGGATGAGTACGTGATGTGTTTGGGGGTTATAGACTTGGTGAAGCAAACGGAAGGCATCCGCAACAATGCAAGGTGTGCTTAAGGTGTTGTACGTGCGTGACATTTTTCAGACGTTACATGAACGTGTATGGTTGTGATCGGAGTCACGATAACATTTTTAATCCTGAAACACATCATGTACTCGTAACTTGTAACGTGTCTAGTTTATCATTTAAAAAGTTTCCGGCGAAAAAAAAATTGGTTGAATTATGGTGATAAAAAGGCAGCGGAAGCGTATGCTCTGGCCCATTTGCAGCATACAGTAATTTTTTAAATGAGAGCCCGACACTGCACAACGAAACCCCCAAGAGTGCGGTGTAACATCTGGCTTGCACATTCACGCAGGAAAGGCCATAACATTCAGGGAAAATAATGGCAGATGCAGATGAAATTTGCTGGCGAAAACCAGGCAGTTGTAATGATAAAGGTTTTTAGAACGTTCTGGTGGTGTTACCTTAAAAAACGGCTTCATAATTATGGAAGGTCACGAGGTCACGCTATAAATACCATTTTTGCGCGGAAATTTCACTATGGTGGTAAGTGGCAACAACAACACTTCCCAGTCTTATTTTCTGGAGAACTAACGCAATTTATGAACTTGATAGAGCTATTTATATCTCCTTTCAAGCGAGAGAGCAGATTTTCTCGTCATTCACTGTATGTGAAAGCCGAAGTTGTTGTACTCGGAAACTTGTATGTCAACGAGCACGCGGCATGTGACTTTAAAATCTCCTCTCCTGTTAAAATCTCTTGTTTGTAAAATGTGATGATAAACAATCAAATGAAAGACTAATAAATGTTTATTGCCGTAAGAAAGCCATATTTGCCTATTTTTTAGCAAATCTCCTAAATAAACGACAGAAGTGAGAAACGGTACGATGCTCCCATCAATATTTCGCCTACATAACTCTCTTTAAAAGTGAAATTTCCAATTTCTACCGAGAATCTGGAAAGTTGCTTACATTTCTTATCCTCCTTGATGAATTATCTTGTTTAACGAGCTATAAAATGATGGTATACTTGCCTAAATAACTGCCTACAGCTAGAATTGCGTGACAGGTGTAGTTGAGAGAAGCATTCAAAGTCGCAGATTTCAAAAGGCATTCCAGACTAAAGTATGGCAGTGCCCACAGATTTTTTTAATGATTTTCAGAGATGAAATAATAGAATAGAAGGGGGTGTTGAAATTAGTGTCGTAGCTTTCTGGCAAGGGGAGATATTTGATCTCAAAGTTACCAAATATTTGAGTGAATCGGAAAGTGTAAAAACATACTAATTTATTCACCTCTGTTGATTGACAAGCCGTCGATCAAATCGATTGGAACTTGTATAATGCATTCATAAAGGATGTACCAATATGTATGCAAACCGTTACAGTAATTTGTTAAATACAGTTGCAGTAAGAGCTTCTTACATTTTACCTATTTTGAGGCCATTTTATAGTGAAAACATAAAAAAACAGGGGGGTGGTCTATATCCCCCCGGAAATGACCAAAACAGAAACCGGTTTGTATTTTTGAGTTTTGTGGTAGATCCTTTGAACTGGCAAAGTTTCATTGAAATCGGTGAGATGGCACGTATCACGACTGCCTGGTGCTCTCGTGGACACGTTCTTAATATCAATTGTCAGGCACGCGGTTTGATTTTCCAAAAAGTCGCATAACGTCTCGAATTAGTTCTCCTCAGTCTTACTTTCCCATGTCCAAGAATGCTCGTTCTCATGAGTGGTTTGCAGTAACTAATAAGGCAAACAGAACTTTGGGTTTCTTAAAAAGGAATCTTGGAAAAGGTCGTGAATCTATCAAAGAACTGTCATATAAATCCTTAGTTCGACCGCATCTCGAGTATGCAAGCACAGTCTGGGACCCCTGGAAGAACAAACACATAAATTAAATTGAAGCTGTTCAAAGAAGATCTGCACGTTTTGTAAAAAATTGTTGGGAGCATAAACCAGGGACTGTATCAAATCTTCTAAATGATTTGGACTGGCCTCTATCACAGAAAAGAAGAAAGTCTACACGTTTAACCATGTGCTACAAGATTCTCCATGGCGAAGTCCAGATGGAACTCCCAAATTATTTCAAGAAGAAAAACCGTCAATTAAGATCATACCATAAGGATAAATACATAGAAATAAAACCAAACACTGAAACGTATAAGAATTCATTTTATTGTAGAACAATCAAAGACTGGAACTATACATATATACATACGTTAAAGGTTAAATTCCCCTAATTGCATCTTTAAAATTAATTAATTTATCAATTCCTAAAACACTATTTGGTAAGGAGTTTATGAACGCACTATATATATATATATATAAATAGAATAAATGTTTGAAAAGAAAATTGGTCCTGAGCGGGATTTGAACCCACGTCCCTCCTGTAACTAGTCAGGTGTGATGACCACTACACTATCAGGACAACCATGCTGGCAACACGGCAATCAAAGATGCGATTTACGTGATCGGAGACGTGGTCTCCAGGGAAATTTAACTTTTATATATATTTGACAATTATTCCACGAGCGCGCACTGGATATGAGGTGATAGATAGCCAACGAGGCGCGTAGCGCCGAGTTGGCTATAATCATCTCATATCCAACAAGAGCGAGTGGAATAACTGTTTTATTAAAAACGTTAAATTAAGTTATTAAATTTTATTAAATTTCTAGCTCCCTTTTAATTTTAAGCTGACACGTACGCTTGCCATATTTGTAGATTATGGTATATTGGCTGATATACCATAATGGCTAAGCCAATAAAAAGTCTTGAATTGCATTATCCAATGATCTAGTTTTTAAAAAATATATATATATCATTTATTTTTACATTTTTTATCTCATTTTGTTAATTATTATTGTTATTTTACGTCTTGCGTGATGGCCCCCCTTTGCAAGACTAGTAAATGTAGATGTAGAACTGAACTGTCTTGTTTTGACCGAAGTGAAATTTTTTTCCATTCAGTTTCAGAAAACAGCTCTACAAAAAGCTGACCGCAACAATCACCGAACCATAGTTCAGCTGCTCCTAAGGAATAAAGCGAGTCCCAGTTACAACCAACCGGTACGGTGATAAAGTATACTTCCTCCATGATTTGTAACCGTACAGAGTGGGAACAGGTTAAGTCATTTTGATCAAGGAAAAGCTTTTTCATTTACCTTGTTTATTTCCGATTCGTTGAGTTCGTCTAGTTCTGGTATGTTGAAGGTTCACATTTAACTTTGAACTTCTTGTCTTTTTCTGCGTCTTCATACGAAGTCGCAAAAAGCGGCAGAAGACAGTCAAAATAACTAAAAAAATTAACTGAACGACTCTCATGGGTTTATTGTACTACAAACAAAGTTGGCTTTCTTTCCCGGCTCTTGTTAAACAAGTCATGCATGATTCTTATTAAAGGTATATGACAAATCCTTTATTGACCAGGCTAGTTCAGTCAAATGAATGACGAAGGACTAACCTTCGAAACGTCAGCTTTGAAACTCTTAACGGCGGCCGATTTACCTTTACTTGTCAACTCAGTTGATAAAACCAAAATTACCTTGCTCAGTCAAAGATGGTTGGATATTAGCCTTGTTATTTTTTTGCGTTTTTATGGACCTCCACCTCGTCTCGGTCCACAAAAACGCAAAAACGAAACAAAAACAAAAAAATCGGCCAATGTCCAGCCATCTTGACCTCTCGCTAGTTCAATAACGCCTATGTATTGACTATAGACAATGATGCTTGGAATCTGACCGGAAGTACGCGCATTGATGCGCAGTTCGACATTCAATAATTGATGCTCAATACGGCATTGATAATTGAAATTTATCCTGAAATACGCACCATATTATCTAGTGGATAGCATTATCTACCCTTCGAAAAACTGGGCTAGTCCTTTAGCTCCCAAGCTCGGGTTTCAGGTGTTATTTGACCCATCTATTTCCCGTTGTGTTCAGTTGAGGTTCTGCTGTCCAATTACTTCGGGTTGATTCACTTGCATGGGTCTCGGCGATCAAGATCTTCTTCTGTATACGTAAGAAGTTAATTCTTCTCAACTGATGTGTTGCGTGTTTTAGTAGTTGCGAACTCCATTTGTTTTTTCCAATTATTTGGCTCGTTATCTTTGCTCGTATTTTTTCTCAAATATGCATCATATTAAGAAGTAAAGGATCCATATTGCAGATAAACTTTTTGTCCTGACCTCCAATGGATGCGATCCAACATCAACATGTCTTTTGTTTGTAAACAAGAACCTTTTAACTTATGGACAATATCAGTTTTAATTCTAGGTGGAATTCCCTTAGATAAAAAAACTTATGTTAAGTCTCGTACTAGTTTCTTCGTTTGTTGCGCTGATTTACTCTACATTATCTTTCATTACAGCCTAGCCTCAGGTCTCTCTCAGAAAAAGCTTTTCTGCACGTAGATGAACGATCTGGCTTCAATCGATTGCACGCAGCTGTATTTCATGGCGACTTTGATACCCTTGTCGAAACTCATGTCCATCTTCATAACAACATGAGTTTTGAAAAAACGGGAAACCAAGCAAAGGCTTTTCCTGGAAAAACTGCGTTAGAAATTCTCTTGGCTCTGCTAGAAAAAGGAGAAGGAAATGTTGAAATAGAAAAACTTTACAAAGCTACCGTTGAGAAGATCGATACATTAACTGAGCTGCACTTATGCGAATGCAACAATGATGCCGAGAAAGCTGTGGAGATTGTTCTTAATGAGGGTGTAGATATAAATATACCAGGAAAAAGCAACCGTACACCTTTGTTGTGGGCAAGTCTATCATCCTCTGGTGAGTTTATCCAGACCCTTATTGATCTTGGAGCTAACGTTAATGCTCAGAGGACAGACGACAAGGTTACACCTTTGAAAGTAGCCACTTTTTGCAACAACTACATGGCCGCGGACATCCTGTTGAGGCATGGAGCTGATGTGAATATTCAAGATGTAAGCGGAAAAACCTCGCTTCACTGGGCCGTCAAACTTAAACATGAGCACCTAGTCAAATTTTTACTTGAAAGCAACGCTGATGTGAATATGAAATACAAGGAGAATGCAGGGGAGAGAATTTACCGTGTTCGTGGGAAGGACAGAGGAAAACCAGCCTGGCACTATGTTCGTGTACAGAAAGCTCTTTTGCCCCTGTTCTTGAGGAAGACTCAAGGTGGAAGTCTCGACGTTGCAGACTTTGGAGAAGTCCTTAAATCTGGATGGGGAACGGACCCTCCTGAGAGCGTTAGAGAGGAAATTACAGAGAAAGTAAACGCCTTCCATGGCATTGACAGCTTCACAGTACTTCATTTTGCGAGTAAGAAAGGTAGTCCCGAGATTATAGAACTTCTGGTGAAGCACGATGCTCATGTAAATGGATGCGATGGAGATGGCTTCACACCTCTACATTTAGCAGCGATGCATGGAAACGTTCAAGAAGTAAAAAAGTTGGTTGAACTCAACGCCGACGTCAACCTGAAAGTGGATGGAAAGGATGCAGCCGACTTGGCTCAGATGAACGAAGAAACAGAAATTGAGGAATTTCTCAAACCTAACAAAAGCTCACCTATAAAGGACTCAGACATGTAATCAGCGCAAAGTCAGTCGGATTTAAAACGCGACAAAAGGGGCAGAACGTGGTTTAAAATTCACTGAGGAAAATTGAAGTTAATATATCCCGAATGATAAAAACTTAGATATTTCAATCCATATTTTTGTTTTCAAGTACATACAGTCAGCGCACCTAAAAGTGTTTGTTAGACACAATTTGGAATAGCTACTGAATTTGAACGCATTTGACCATCGAGAAAGTTTGCATTCAGTCAGTCTGACGTTATTACTTTCAGTATTTACGGATTTTTTTTTTTAATTTTGACTGGTGATTGTTAAACAGTATTTCTTTTTGTTTTTGACATTTTAGTAAAACTTGATAAGGCCAGGCCTTAGCAAATGAGCACTGAATGTAAAAAAAAAGTGGCTTTACACTCATCTTTTGTACGTATGATATATTTGTATTACCCTAACTTTTCGAAGTGAATTGACACATCAATCGATTACGATGTTTCTTACGTGTCCTTAAACGTAGCAAATGGAATTCTAAGAAAATAAATTTTGCTTTCTACACGACCGTTTTGAGTCAATTTGAATTGGCCTTTACATAGGTTTGGACGCAAAAAAAAAAGAAAAACAAACAAACAAACAAAATGAAAAAGAACAAAACAAAACGAAAAATAAACTACAATATATGTATACAACACACCTGCACTTGTTAGTCGTCATGGTGAAACGAAAAAGGCTGAAATTTTGCCCTAGACACAGCGAATAACTCTTGAGTACCACGGTTCCATGTTGAAGTTTACACACTTAATATGGTTTCTAATCACTATGTCCTTTTGGAGCGTTTGGGCTGAGAAAAACTTATCTGACACAGAACCATAGTATTCACAACGACCAATCAAAAAACAGAAACGTTAAAGGAACCAATCAGAAACCAAAGTTAATGCATGTCTAAGTCCTAATGGGCGGGAAAACGCGGGTAGCCAGGTTTCGATTTTTTCTTCTGATTGGCCGAGAAGATGGTATAAGTTTGTTGACCAATCACAGAAAGTGGTGTAATTAAACCGACGTAATCCCGCGTGACTTGCGACACACAAATTTACACCAAAATAGAGATAAAGTAACAGTAACTGTTGTCTTATGCTTCCTGTAAAAGAAGCGAAGTTCTAGCTCAGCATCACTGATGAATCATGTAGTTGACAACCTTCATTTCTGCTGGGCAGCGAGCGTAGTGATTGGAAAAGAATATAGGGGATGCGAATTCTCGAATTCATCCTCTGTTACCATAATGCATTGCAGTTTTTAACCAGAGTGCACTGCACCATGATTGTTGTTTTTATTGTATTGCGTTACATAGCGTTTCTACTGTAAGGACATTTCCTATATGTAGTCAATTGTGTTGCTAATCTACTTTCTAAGTAAAGGCAAATAAGTGATCGCGATTATTGTACGGTAAATCTGCTATCTTGATCACTGAGTAAAGGACAATTGAATAAAAGCAATGAAAACAGTCACTTGATCAATGAATACCTTTACCTTGCGTAAGTTGACTCGCCGGTTAGCAAAATAGAGTTGCCGATGGTGTTCAAAGGGCCTATGCGACTCCTGCCATTTGCTAGCGTTTTTAAATCTTCTTCCCTCAAATTAAGCTCATATTAGGATTTCTCATAATGACTTTCCTTTGCAATTTCTCCAGAAATCGCGGACATTTCGAGCCCGCAGAGTACCGGCAGTAATCCGGAAAACAAAGATGGAAAGTTAATGCTATTGAGGTTTTTCCTTTTCAATATGATGATGAGTAATACTTTCTTAGCTTCGGCAATCAGAATTTCGCACAGAAATAATTTTCCGCCGGGAAAATTAAATATACCGCCAAAAAGGTAGTGTCCGCTGTCCGCAAGGCTAGGGTTTGGGCTCATTAGCAAAGCAGCGGAGAAAAACAGAAAGCATACTCCTTTGAAATGTGCTGACCGAAATAATCGTCAGATATTTCAAAATTAGGTCCGCAATGCGTACGTGTCGCTGAAGAAATTGCACTGCTCTTTAGTGTCTGGTGTCTTATTGAGTTTCTGTTAGAAGAGCTAATATCTGATTACGGTTCGATATTTTTCAATATTGTTCCTGTTCATCGCTAAAATAAGATAACTGGCATACAATAGTCTAAAAATGTTCATTTTCAAGGTGAGGGTTAATGGCCAAACTTTGTTATGGAGGCCTCATTTTGACAACAAAGGTTGCACATGTAACCTGAAGATTTTAGGAACTAAAAAAAGTGTCAGCATCATCTCCTGTAGTGGCCTAATAGATCTTGGTCATGATTTTGTTTACATAACTAAGTGGAATAGAGTTCAGATATTTTTTGGTGGTGTTTTCCAAGGCAAGTGATGTGATTTTAACTCTAGGGAAGCGTTTCATTTGAATATTTTTTGCATTTTGTGTACCAGCACACAAGGACAGAACTTTCCAGAAGGGCTAAAACATTTGGGAAAAGAGTACCAGAATCTTTCAAGTTTTTTTGTTATTGATATTGTTATTTCATGCCAGTGTGTTTCCCATTTTCAAACTATGTGGAGGCATGAAACGAAAAGGTGAACTTGACATCATCATATAAATGGTCAACTTGACATGCTACTCAAAATTTGTCCTTCAGCTGAAGTCTTACTCAGGAATGAAATTTTGTCAGTGTCTATCAATATACCTAAAACATTCAAGCGTTTATTTATTTTGGTCAGCTACTATGTATATCAATCAGCACAACCTACTTCGTGTAAATCTGATTGGTTTCTTATGTGATCTAATGTTGCTGAACCTACCAGCGATTTACATTTGTACTTGAGTGGTTACTTTTGCACTGGTGATACATGAAAAAGACACCAGGCTGTTTTCAGCCAATCATGAGTGTAATTTTTCATGTATATCAGTATTGCGATGAATTAACCAAAACCAAACAAGTAAATGAAAAGGCTCAGTTGTCGTCTGCCAAATAAAGACCTAATACACATGTATAATTTGTTATCAAGTTTAAATATCAACGTTCATCTGAACCATTATAAAGACGAATTTAGAGGCCTGCTAGCTTACAGGAAGTCAAGAAATGTTAAGGTCTGAATAATTCTAGGTATTACTTGGAAAACATAATGATAATAATCACAATAATAATCAACATTAAACTACTTATAGGCTCCTATCAGCAATGGAATATAAGTATTGTAGAAAATCTTTCGTGAAAACCAAAACATTACATCATTCCACATTTTGTGTTATCCAATAACTTGTTTCAATACTGGCAAGTAAAATACTTTTAAATTGAATATCATAAGCATTAAATTCAAAAATGATCCTTACAACGTGATAAGATATCCTATCTTTTTACGAAATTGTCATAAAAGCCAATTCTTGACCGGTATTGTACAATCGAGATTCCCACACTTACTTTCGTCGTTTTGAAATATACCTCCTTGAATTCTTAACAGTGCAAGGAGAATGCAACTATAATACAACTTATTTCACTTTATGGCGCTTCCAGGAGGCTTCAGACAGTTTCAAACACTTTCAAACTCTTTCAGAGACTCAGTGGTGCAACCCGCATCAATAGATCAAACTAATAGTTGTTGGCTTGCGAGAGTGCAATGACTCCTTTCAGTGTAGTACAACTCGTACCGAAGATTCACGCTGTTAAATGTTGTCTTTTAAGAGCGTAAAAGCTCTTGCACAAGCTGCAGTTATAACACAAGCCGGATCTGGGTACGTTGGCTTGTGTGAAGAGAACTAACTCGTCAAACGATCACCTGAAAAAAATTACTCGACACCACGCTTACAACCAAGATAGCTGACTCAGACGAGTTAAGGCCTTACGACACTAGACCACGTGACATGCGTTTGACTCTCGTCGACAAGTAAATAAATAAATAAATCCGATCGTGCCATAGCGTGGCTACAGTTTGTGTAAGCCACACAAAAATGGAAGAAACGAGCTTTCAAATGATGCATTTTGACCGAAATCTGAGGCACACTTGGCCGAGATATCGCTTCTTGAACTCGGTGTATTTGGCCGATTTTAGCGTGAGATTCCAATGGATTGTGCTGGATTGCGTTTGTGCGGAGCTTTCAACCAGAGCAAATATACATAAAAGGTACGCTACACAGCCTACAAACGTCTAATTAACAAATGGTAAACACCACAGCGTACACTATTGAGTTATGGATGTCCGCGGGAGGTTGCTAAGCACGAAAGAAGCGTAAGAGTCGCGCGAGGCGATAGCAGAGAGCGACTCTAGCTTCTTGAGCGCTTAGCAAACCTCCCAAGTGCATCCATAACTCAATAGTGTACGCTGTGGTGTTTACCATTTGTGTTATAACATAACATTGATACATGGTAGCTAAAGAGTTCCCTTTTATTTAACAAATATTACATGACCAGAAAATACAAGAGCGCGCGGAAAAATTGTCTTTGCATTTGCTCTCGTCAGCAGCGTACACCCATGAGAAAATGGGGGACGCTGAATTGACCAATCAGAGCGCGCGCCATACTTTGGTTATGTTATAAGTCAGTTTAAAGCACGTTTTCATTCTGTCTAGTTGAACTAGTTGCACATTTCTCCCATCACGCTTACTTTGTCGGTATTCTTATTTAAAAAACTTTGACTCTTCCCGATTTCGATCATATGTCAGACAAATCTTTTAAAATTTTAATGGAGCTCTAGGTCGAAAAAACCTTTCGCAAATATACATGAAATTTTGTTACTTTGCCATGATTTTTTTATAATATGCCTCATTATCTATCAGCCTATCAGCCCGGACTTGCACATTTTTGTTTTCTTTATTTCTCTGAGAGATATTCGCCGTTTATTTTCGATGTCCATACAAATCCCTTACATTTTTTACGAATCCGATCCGGTGGCCGGCAAGATAATAATAACAATAATAATAATAATAATAATAATTGAAATTTATATAGCGCAAATTCCATAGACATGATCAAATGCGCTTTACATGAAAATAAAGAAAATGTAGGAAAAAATATCTATAAAGTATGTATGTAAAGTTACAATTTTCCTAATGAGATATGAAATTAATAACCACCAAACAAATGAGATAGAATATTAAAAAGCACTAAGCTTATGAGATGGAAGATTAAAATCCCGGGTTAAAAGGTAGGTTTTAAGATTACGTTTCAAACTAGAGAAGGAGTGAAGGACACTGATGTTACTTGGTAAGTCATTCCAAAGACGTGGTGCAGCATAAGAGAATGCCCTCGCTCCCAATGTGGGTAACATCTTGCCACTTAGGACCTTGAGCAGAAGTTTTTGATTTGACCAGCCGGGTGCTCTACCGTGCATTGCCTTAAAACACAATAAAAAAATCTTAAATTCTATACGGTACCTAATTGGTAACCAGTGAAGCTGGCACAACAGTGGTGTAATATGGCTTAACTTAGGTTGTTTAAAGATTAGCCTAGCGGCTGCATTTTGAACCCTTTGTAGCTTGTCAATTTGTGCTTGAGGTGTACCTTAAAACAAGCTGTTATAGTAATCCAATCTGCTGGTAATAAAAGCATGGATCAAAGTCTCTGTAGAGTTTGGCGATAAGTACTTCCTAATGCGCCAGATATTATGAATATAATAAAATGATATGTTACAAACTTTGTTTATATGAGCATTCATAGGTAGACAAGATGAAATTTGATCACGCAATAGTTCATGTCCGCGATTTCTGGACATGAGTAGTAATAATTAGGATAAGTTTTAAGATGTCATTTCCCCATCTGCATGTTCTAAAGGTTTGGCAAAGCTGGAGAGATTGTATTCAGTTAAAAAAGGCAATAGTTTTCTTCTCTGCACGCGCTACTTTGTTATGCTTTTTCCTCTCCCACAGAAAATAACTTCAGATATATGTTTCTCAATGTAAGTCTTGGAAAACGCAGGTAGATGAATCACTCCGTAAATCATGTTACTATCAACAAAATGTGCCGCAGCACTACTACCTTATTTGATACACCAGTTAATTATATGTGAGATATATATCATGATTTATATCATGAACATTCTGTGTTGATCGTGAATGCGCTTTTTTATTTCAGTATACTTTTCTCGGTATTTATAGCATTCTTTAGGTTTATGTTTGTTTATTCATTTCAATCTTAACACAGACGTATCTAAACTCAGCTGATTGTTAAAGATAAACTTGTGAATTGGCTTTTAATTGTGCAAGGTTCAAATCCTTTGTTCAGAAAGGGACTTCTCCGTTGCTAGGGTTGTATTTGAACAGTGCACAACTTCCTATGTTTCACTCGTTAGATGAATATTCTATTCAAGCCACGAAGGCATTGGCGTAGAAAGAAGCAGTGACCACTCGTCTCCATTTTTTCAAGCATCCCGGCCAACGTAGCTTCAAAACTGTCAAAAGATTTATCACATTGACTTGAATGTAAAGGTAGGCTTAACAGCCTTTTTTAAACCTGTCCTGTAAATTCAATACATCTTAAATCGAGGCGTCTGTAACAATGCCTTGTACTCCGACGAAAACACTACCAGTCGCTTAAACCTCACTTCTAAGTTAATTTTTCACACTTTTAGTCCATGGGCCAGAGAGGTTCTCATTACCACTCAGGGGGACAAAATGTGTGTCATCTGATGAAAGGTTATGTGAAAGACTCTACAAATTCACTTGATAGCAATCGTAAAAGAGTAGCTTTCACCTTTTTAGGCGTACTCCTTTATTTGAATTAAATGCTGCTTTTACATGGAAACGAGGCTGACAATAGAATAAATAGTTCACATGGCTTCTTTGCTCTTTTTATAGCAAATAATTCAGCATCCTCAACATAAAACAGTTTTCAAAAATAATTCAGGCTTAAAGCCACAATTTACGATTGAATTTGAAAGAAAACTCAAATCCAAACATGAAGTCGAATTCGAAAGGCATCACGGTTAACTTCAAAGATGGCGGCCTGGCTGCATGGTAAGTGCTTTAAACTTCTTGTTTATCCTTGACGTTTCACGACGCATCTCGCCCAAAATGTAAAGAGATTAGGCTTTAAGATATCACAGCTTATTAACGGAAAAAAAAACAAAAATGAAGGCTAAGTATTCTTTCTGCTCATTAGCATAAATGCCTTCAAACATTCAAGAGTTGGCGATCGAATATCATTGAGATAACAACAAACTTGACTACCACGTGTGATCTCAATTGTTGTTTCATTTCAACAGACCAAACTGAACGACCGAGGTATGAATTTTGTATTATTCACTGCTCAGATGGTGAGAGTTTGCTTGTTAGTCCAAACGATCTCGATTCCTGGAAATCATTATTGAAAGCGGCTGCTATTAGAAATCATAGACCGTTGCTTGAGTTGGCAGAGAGTGCTAAGGAAGGGGAAATTCCCCCTGTCAGCAATCACAAAAAATGCCGCAGCCTTTTTACAATGAAGCAAGAATTGGCAAAAGCCTCTCAAAGAACAGCAACCGTGGAAAAGATTGATGTGAATAATGTGGGAAGTGTAGAGCAAAGACCACGTGGAGAAGAAACTAGCGCCACTAAAACGTATCCAAAAGGCCAACATTATGACAAAAGCGTAATGTGATTTTATCTCGAGGTCCGCCATATAGAGTTAAGTCTTTAGGTGTGCCTTTGCATGGGGCAAGGAGCATTGTCAATCACAGATCTTAAGCCAATCAAATGAGGTCAGATCAAATAGCACCAAGGTTATAGGCAATGTCAGTTTCTCTCCTGGTCCTTCTCGCCTCCATTTCCATCGTGTTAAAATCCAAACACAGATTTTCGGTGCTGTAGAAGAATTTTCCCGCCCCCTCCCCATGCTCCGGCCCTCTCTTCAGGCTTTGTTGCCTTATTATACCTATTTGGCTCTTTGCCGATATTTAACCCCACCTTTGCTTAAGAGATTGCGTGATGTTTATTATATCAATGTTCTTGATGTGGGGTGAAATAAAAGCGTCACTATTGTGGCCAATTTATACCACATTAGCAGTTATTTTTATCTCCCGTCAATCTCGTCAGCAAACTAGCGCGACGGCACGCAGAGCTTCGGTCCCGTTTTAGTGGAGA